TTCGACTCTTACTAACTTGATCGTTGGAGGTAGAACTCTACACAACCGGAGCTTCCGTTTGTTTGTAGGTACAGGCGAAGGGAATCCAATCTTGGTGATGTAATTCTCCCGCAGGACACATAAAAAACCCCGAAACATTAGTAGTCAAAGTTATGTCTCGATAAATATGCCGGTCAAAATAATGCAAATATTAATCACGTTGGGAGTATTTTGGAATTACATGGATATGTCCTTAATTAACATAAAAAAAATTCAACCCGTGTAATTTAAGGCAAAATAAAACGCCCTAGAAATTGTTCAATTCCCCCATATTCTGCATATATGTAAAAGGTGTGAGTGGATTGGATTATAAACAAACATGATGCAATCGTAGAGAAACTTCAATTCTCAACCCCTAGCCCTCTCCATCTCCCATCACTAATTCAAAATCCATAATACCAAATTTTCTATGGCAAGTAACAAGTCATAGTGAACAAAATAGTGAATTATCAATGACCATGCAACTCTCCTTCAGTCCTTTCCATCCTTCAATCTCGTAAAACAAATCCACAAAATACAATACCCTCCAAAAAAAAAAAAAAAAAAAAAAAGTCCAACTGAAGTCTAAATCCAAACTAGTACGAGAATCGGAGAACAAATCAGAGAAAATCTCCTCACTTTCTTTCGTTTAAAGTTATGATCTAATCTCCATGTGCAAGTTGTGCAACCGAGCGCAAGTTCTCAAACTAAATTATATGTTTTGTAGGCATACTTAGGACTTGTTGTCTTCTAACTTATTTTAGACACTTGCTTCAAAAAAAAAACTTATGTTAGACACTTGTTATTTACACTCTTGACAAAATCAAATCAGATTAAACCAAAGTTTTCAGATTAGTTTAGATCAAAACTTATAATTCCCATTCACTTATTCCTAACATCTCTATTGAAAGAATTTATTAAAATACAAAATTAAAAAGTACACACAAAGACAAATTTAACAAGATTTAAATTGATAATGTGCTTTCTTAGTCTAAAATTATGATTAAAGTTTAGTCAAATCAATACATAAGATCTGATCAAATCAGACCATATTAGAATTTCAGATCAAACCGGACTAGACTTTATTAAAATCAAACCAAATCACCTTATTTCAGGTGAAGATAATTAATCCTTAATTTAGAACTTTACAATATAATCACTAATTAGTATTCCGTATCAATTATATGACAACTAAACCAAGGTCGTAACCAATAAAAGGACATACATGGTTCTTTGATTGCCCAAAAGATTGTTAAAAACACAACTGAGACAAATACACAGCACATCCTCATACCACCCACACCACAAGAGAAGCTCACAAGTCACAAGGTACTGACTCTTCTTTATTTAATGGCAAAGCCCACGAACCTCTGAATTAATATTATAGCTCAAAAGGCACTTACACTACTAATGGTACCACTGCTTGCTGCTAGTTGGCCACATTATTTCACCCATATGTATCCACTTTTTCTGCACTACTTCACCAGAGTTCCCTTTTACCAAAAAAAGTACATAGTATAAGCATTCTTTAAGAAAAACTCACTAATGTACAATCAAATCTACTTCAGTCTTCTTTCTTTTCATCTCTTTACCATTTGGGCTTTCTTCCACATCCTATAAAGGTATACTATTTCCGTCCTCTAATACACAAGAGTACTCGTAACTAATCACGCTTACATACACGTCAATAATAGATACCTTGTAGGATCAAAACCCACTAGAGGAACCCAAGCCAGAATTAACTTATAAGAGGTTCTGGTAGTTGGACAGAAGTCAATCTAGATTCTTAGTTAAGGTGTACCAACAAAATCAATACCTTAAATAGTTTAATAAATATGATTACGAAGTACTTTATTTAACAATTAATTTAATAATCCATAAACAGTGTACACGAAAATCAAGAAGCAGCTTGACCTCTCTTGTTCATAGGACAGATGATAGTGGAGGAAGAGAAGGATAGGTCCTCGTCCTCCCACGTGATAGAATCAGCATGGACTATACTGAGAAAATCCAAGATTCTATCTAATGACCATTCAAGACATAGGATTCTTGTCAAATTAGTTAGGTAATTCTAATTAAAGTTTTAGTCCCATCATTCATGGCTGACACGAAAGAGTTCTAATTAAAACTAAGATTCTCAACTGTTTTTAAATACTTGCCCCATTTTTTCATGCGTAGAGTTCTAGGAGAAATTAGAAAAAGTAATAAAATATGGAAGTAGTGGGGAGTGGAAGAATCAAAAATTGTAAAAAGCAAAAGTAGTTGAGAGAATTAGAGAAGAGAGAATATGAAATTAATAAAATATGATTTATGTTGGGTTTACTAGTTGAGAGAAATGAATTAAGTATTATAAAAGCTTTATAAATAAGGAATGGAGCAAGTATTTAAAAACGGCCGAAAATAGAAAGTGAAGCAAGTATTTAAAAACGGAGGGACAATACTACTAGCTTAAGGCCCGTGCCATGCACAGTAAGTCTAATTTTTTTAAAAGAAAATTAATTATATCCAACAAATAAAATTTAATAAAACATACAGATCAAATATACTACCTCCGGTTTTTTTTATGTGCAACTTTTGCCATTTTAGTCCGCTCACTATTATGTGCAACTTTCTTTTCTCTTTCTATTTTTAGTAAAAAAAAAAAACTAGTCAAATGTCAATTTTACCCTCATTTAAAAAATTAAAACACAATTTATTAACTATAATCGGATTTTATTACTCACTAATTCTTACCCAATTTTCACCCCAACCAACCCAATCTAATTCATCAACTCTTCATCTTCAATTCAAGAAACCCAAAACCATCCCCATTCATCTTCCCCCATATTTTCTCTCTCCTCTTCAAAACCATCTTCATCTTCATCTTCCCCCGTATTTTCTTTCTCCTCTGTCATGAGGGTGGTGGTCGTGGGGTTGGTAGTCATGATCGTGGGTTTTCATGAGGGTGGTGGTCGTGGGGTTGGTAGTGGTGGTACTGGTAGTGGTGAAGGGCCCGCGTTGAAGGCGACAATGGTGTTGGTTCGGTGAAGGGGGTGTGGGTCGTGGTTTTGGGTTCGAGTTGGAGGTTTAGTTTCGTGGTTCCGTTGAATTGGGTTTTGGTGCTGGTACGGTGGTGTTAGTATGGTGAAGGTGGTGGGTGGCCGCGGATCTGGGTTCTGGTGGGTGGGTTTTGGTGGGTGGTCGTTGTTCTGGGTTTTGGTGTGTTCGTGGAGGTGGTGGTTTCGTCGGTGGGTTTTCGTGAGGGTGGGGTTGGTTTCGTGGGGTTGGTTGTGGTGGTGGTTTCGTGGGGGTGGTAGTGGTGGTGTTGGTGAAGCAGACGGTGGTGTTGGTGAAGGCGGCGGTGGTGTTGGCTGGTTTTGGTGGTGGTAGTGGGTGGTTGATTAATTTTCATAACATTCTCTCTCCACCTTAATTACATACCCCTATTATACATTAATCACCATTATCATCTTTTGCTTCGTGAACCGTAAAAAGCCTCAAAGTTGCACATAAAAAAACCGGAGGTAGTATAAAAATTATAACATCATAATCTATATTAATAGGTAAGCAAAAAATTAAACAAAAATGGATTTTTTGCGCTTCCTAAACCTGAGTATTTTTTCAAGTGGGCTTGGTTTGATCAGTCTAGTGGTCATATTAGTAAATACTTATTTACAAAATGCCTTTGTAATAAACATAAAAAATTAATCAAACAACAAACTAAAATCTCCACTAAAACTTTTAGCATAAGTGCACAACATACTCATACACACATATATATAAATAACATATCACCTTTTATATCTAAAAAATCATTGCAATGGAAATAAATACTACTCAGATCATTGAAGGCAATCAAGAACAATCAATAATTGGACAACACTAATCTATATTATTACATTTTTAGTTTATAGATTGATGCTCTACATATACAATATCGTCATTCTATGTTACTATAAAAAAATGTGTTTGAAGCTAACCAATAATTGAAGTTTAATCATTTTTGTTTATTGTCTTAAAAGTTTAATTGTAGATAATAGATATATATCAAAAAAAAAAAAAAAAAATCATTTGTCACTACGTCTGACGTGCATTTCAGTAAGCAGATTATTTATAAATGTCAGATGTAATAAATTTATTATCTTAATCAAGTGCCTCGGCAAAAGATAATAATTTTTTTTGCTTTTACTAAAATATTTATTTTTTTAATTACGTAATTTACAAAAAAATTAATTGATATTTTAGCTTTCCCTAGAATTAGACATATGATATAATTGTTAAACACAACATTTATATTAAAGTTATACTATACTCTATAAATCCTTAATTTGTGATAATATATATGCAACAGTAAAATTTCAGAAATAAAATTCTAATTAATTTCAATATATGGTTATATTGAAATTGAAATATGATATTGGCTAGAAATATTTGAAAAAATAAAAATAAAAAAATTAAGTGATGTTTTAAAGTAATTTCTTTAACATCTATTATATGAATCAATTTATCATTACTTTTTTGGCAAAATTTTATAATACTCCATTTAAAAGATAATTAAAAAGGAGTTGGAATAATTATTTAGGTAATTGTATATAGAAAAATTATGAACACCAAGTAAAAAGAAATGTATTTGTCATAAAAATAATATAAAAAATTTGAGATGATATTATTATAAAATCAAATATTAATAAAAAAAAAATAGTTAAAAAAGGAAAGGGAGTTTTGAAGGGAAAAAATAGCACCAAGATGTGACACGTGTCACTCCCGGTGTCTGTTTTAGTATTAAGTTATTGATTTGATAGAAATCAAGCAAATTATTACATGCCAAAGAAAAATATAATCACAAACGAGTCTGAGGATAATTTATATACCCTAAAAAACGTAGTATATTTCTAATCACAGAGTTGCTCTACCGAGTAACCTGACCATTGACATATACTCCGTATGATGGCATGATGCAATGATGCCATAGAGGCTAAAATAAGTAGGGTAAGAATCAAGAGAAATTTTGAACACCACGATAGCATATTTTCCACACAAACTCAAAAATTCTACGACATAAAAATTTAGTCAGAATGCTCATACGGATGATAGTAGCAACTAAATCTACATTAGAAACAAGAAAATGGAAGGTGGGTAAACCTCTCTAGCTTCAAGGTTGCACTTCTCATCGTGCAAATAAGAAGAAACCAGAACAATCAATATCTTCAACTGATGTATTTTTCAATCTTCAAGTGATAACCTCTGAGCAATCTTTTGGTAACTTGGTAAAAAGTCCATAATAGACCTCTGGAGACTTTGTGAAAGCTTGTAAGTTGAACCAACGTATCTGTAAATAGGAAGTTTAGTCACACCAATTAATTAAACTTTCACGAAAAAATTGTTGACTGAAGAGACGTGCCACTGAACCAAGATATAGCAACAATTTAAAGTGCATAACTACATCATAGTCGCTCAAACAGCATAACATTCTTCACTGTGCGCCATGAAAAATTGGATAGCACTTCGCATGCATAATAAAGGACGACACTGATAACTAGATTAGATCTCAAATGATACAATATGAAGTTTAAAAATTCATGTGTCAAACCTACAGATGACTACAAAATCTATCAGACCACACTTGTTTCCCTTTTTACCCAGACAATACCTTAAACTCATTTAGGTGACCAAAAAAATAATAATAAAAAGTATGCTCATAACATCAGGTCAGATTGGAAAAAATCACAACACCTCAAATCAGAGAAATTGAAAACCACAACCAAAGACTTGAGCAATTAAAAATGGTAGCCAAGAACTTGGAAGGTATGACGCTAACTTTAAACATAACCCAAGATCATCACAACTATAAACACCAGAACTCAACAAGTATGGATAACATATCAACTTTCAATAAATAAGCAAACTGTGTAAAATCAGAATTGAAAAACTGAATACTTACTTTGGAACGATCCTCAAACTCCAATTACGGTGGATCCTCAACATATTATCCAAGCTGACAGCCATTATCCTCAAAAAGAAGTCTTTTCATGCTAAAGAATGTCTTCCCTTTGATTTTAGTCACTGACTATGTTACCAGACTTCCCCAACCCAACCCCCACCCCACCCCCCCCCCCCCCCCCAAAAAAAAAAAAACACAAATTCAATCATGATTAATAAAATCTGCTGCTCACTTTCTATCCTTCATCCCATACGTCCACAATTTACACTCAAAGCCTCTTTCCATCTCACTTGCATGTGTATTACAATAACCAGCACTTGTGTTATTTCCCCCAATATTCTGAGACTCTCTTCTCCTTCAACAACAAACCAGAACATCGAAAAACTTGATATAATATCAATATATAGTAAACATGCATTTTCCATTGAGCTGATGTAACATATTGTCTTCTACGCAATCGTTACCCCCAAGCAAACTACCCCGAATCCCCTTTCCTAACAAAATGAGTTACCAATTCTCAAATCATTGAAGACTATCTTTCAAAATATAACCATATACCATACCTATAATGTAGTAAATTAATCTTGTCCCAAACTGGCCCAGCAGTCCAATACTCCAAACAAAATTACAGAATCAAGGACATAGATCTTCAAATAATATATGTAGTATTATAAGTGCAAATTCACAGAGACGTAGCCATATAGATTCTAGAAAAGAGAGGGGGTGTTTGGGGGGGGGGGTGTTGAGACAATAGAGAACCACCAGAGCTTTTAGCCTTCCTTGAGCTATCATAATTAATAAATGCCAGAATAGGTGAAAGGTAAACTGGGCCGTCTCTAAGATTCTCTTTATTCTGCCTCTACATTTTGTTTACACCTTCAATAGTTCTTATGTTAGTATTCAGATATAATCACATAAAGGAAAGGAAACATCGCCCAAACACAAAATAAAAGAGAGGCAGAAATAGAGATGCAGAGAATCCAACGGACTTTCTCATTCATTCATTAAGCAATTCTATTCAACAACTAGGATTTGTAACTCCTTTTACATGAGATGGAGCTTAGCATCAATAGCAACAAAATGGCAAAACATAAATTTCAGCAAGGAGTTGACTTAAGATGGAGTAGATATATAAACATTATAATCGACAAGCAGTTCATATTTAGCTTAATCAAGACCTTCAAACAGTGTTTTTGCAGCAAAAAGAGAATTCAGCAATGATACTAGCTCGCGCAAAGCTTTTCAAGGGCAAGAGTTTCATCCCCACCAACAACTTCCAAAGTACTCCTCACCAATGCTTCAGGAAAGCCCATTTCAGCTAGCCTCTGTACCTGCATGATATTCAACTTCCCTATGACATCATATATTTGGAAAAATATGTGGTTCACTCAATGACATACTGACAAGGAGACCAAAAAAATGAAAGGTCTTAGAGATCTGCTAAAAAGGGTGATTTATCTACCTTCTCCTCAATCCCATGGGAAGATGTCTTGGCAAAAGCTTCAGTCCAATAACGAGCAGTGCCTACGAAGGTCTGGTAATCCCGAAGGTACTGCATGGTGCACCACATGAATTAAACAAGTATGATGAAATGCATGTCCCACGGAATTAACTAGTTAGCTATTGGCGATTAAAAGTAAAACCACCAAATTCCCTTCCCCAAAGCACCAAAGGGGAAGAAAGGAGATGGTCTTGAAAGTTGAAACTTGAGAAAATCAAATAAAAATAAAAAATAAAAATAAATAAAAATAAAACATGCAACTTAGCAGCAAAGCAACCTGTTGAGCAACAACAGCATCCTGAGGATCATCTGGCTCTGGTGCAGAAAGTAATGCTTGTATGGAGACAAGTGCTGTCTTTAAAGTTAGAGCAGGACTCCATTGGTCTTTCAAGATATCCAAGCAGATAGCCCCACTCTGACTGCTAATATTAGGATGCCTTCAATATAATGCATGAATACACATTAAGCTTGTAATCTCCTGAGAGTTGCGCATAATTTTACATTTTAATACATAAACACTTCCAATAATGAAATAAGAAGTAATCCCCCTCCCCCTCCCCTGATAATATTAGGATGCCTTCAATATAATGGAATGTGCACAATTCACAATTGCATGACCGTTGCACTAGACATTGATCATATATAGCCCTGATAAGGCCTAGGAGGCTCAAACCAAGAGACCAAAGTAAAACTCCCAAATAAAGCCACAATCTTATCACATGTTACAGAAATTTCTCCCATTCTGCTCAGAAAGAAAACCACAAAATCAGAAGAAAAGCAAGCTGCCTAAGAGCCAACATATCTTATCTAGAAATGCTCTTATATGGAGGTGGAAATATCCAAATACCACAAGAAAAAGACCATTTCACAATAGAACAGAAGATAATTTCCCTGTCATACCACTTCAACAATGTATAAGAAACACACTGAGCATGGTAGACCTTCAGACTTGCAAATTTATTATCAGTTCACGTGTAGACAAAATAATCACCTGAACACTTAACTTCCACCCTCTTATGAACCTCAGACATCCAAACGAAATTTATGAGGGTACAGGTATTTGGATGCAATGGCTTTTGCAAATATCTCTAACCCTTAAAAGTGCCTAACTCACACTGTTCACTACTACAGTGAATTGAATGAAAAAAAATCATGAAATTCATTGCAGCTTATGAACAACTGCGTCCTCTTCCCCCTTTTTCTTATTCTGATGATTCTTCCTCAATTTTTTCCACCGTTTTCTTCCAGACAATATCCTCTTCTCTCTCTCCCTTACCATCCTCCTTGTCTTTTTCCTTATTTTAAAGTACAGACATGCCAACACAGGTAATAATCCAGTTATTTTGTTTGGAATTTAGAATTGGATTTGTTTTGGGTTGTGTTTTAAAGATTAAATTTGGAATGATATGAAATTTAGAGTTTGATATGGAATTACCATTTACTTACTTTTTTTTTTTTTTCCAATTCTGTCAGATCTTGACTGCAGAAGACGACAAGAATATTCTCCACTTTTCTTTGAAGTTTTCATGTTAGATGTTACCACTTAAAAAGGTACTTCCTCACTCCACTTTTATCTATTTTGCATGCATAATTTCCTAATAAAATTAAGACTCCGAAGATATTGATTTGTAGACATTTCTGATGAAGAGGCTTTAAATAAAAAGTTGTTGCATTGACTTTGTTTTCTCAACGTTGCTTTTTGTTTCTTATCATTGAAAAAGAACACAGTAGTTACAAAGCTTTGAAATTTATATGATGGGAAATATTCTTGCAACTAGAATGTGTATGATTCAATTTTATTTAAAGTTGTAGTAGAATCATTTTGTGATCCTTGACAATCCCTAGGACAACCCAGCAAATGCCAAAATCAAAAAAATGTTGTGGGCAGATAATCATATTATGGTCGTTACTTGACAGTTTCTGCCATGTTCAGAGAAAAGAAGAGTACAAGGGAGGTCGATAGACTAGGATGTCTTTGCAATCATTAAGCTCCCTCTTACTTTTTCTCTTACAGTCATCAAGCAGAAATTGATTTGATTTAATAACGAATTGATAGTACAGTGGCTTTCCGCCTATCAGCGAGCAATGTAACAAAAGGTAAATTTTTTGGCCTTCTTTCATATATTTTTAGTCTTCCCTTAATTCTATCTCTATGTCGAATTGCTTTGAATGGCAATTGGATATAAGAAATATAGAATTAATTAGAGTTCTGAACCTCCTGCTCTTTGGGACCTTTAACATTTGCTGTGCTATTGACATGTGTTAGAAATTCATTAGGTTAGATTTTGGGTGCTCCTTCAAACAACATTTGTAGAATATATACGTTTTTGCTTTTATATGAATTGTGCATTGGTCTTTAACATCAAACTGCTTTGAGGGGGGCATGGAAATAAGCAATGTGGCTGTATTTCCATTGTAGTATTGATTAAGATTATAAATCAGTTCGGCAGATTTGATCATTCTGTCATCCATAACATGGCTGTCTATGTTTGATTTTCATTGGTATATAACCTATATTAGTTTTTTTGTTTTTTGGTTTAGGGTGCTGCCTTAGAAAAGTCATTGCGATGGGGATGGCTAAAGGTTTGCATCCATGAAAATGCATAATCTATACTCTTGCATATTTCTAAGGACCTCATTCAAGCCTTCCAGCTAACACAATTACACTTTATTACCGAGCTCCAACTGTCAAAGTGTAAGCCATTTTTCAGCTTGTATGAAAGATTATACTCCAAATAGTTACTAGACTCCATAAAGTTGTTAAATATTCCACTTTAAGTTTGATGGGTGCCTCCGAAAATCAAAATCAGATGTCCTTTCCCAAAGAATTATCCCAAGATTGAAACAGTTTGGAAAGAAGGGTGAGAGTATTTAAAGGGGAACACATGCTAAACACAAATCTCCTCTACCAAGAGTATGAACTGCATATATGACCAAAGGAAGGAAAAGAGATTAAATACAGAAATATCTTGGCAGTAGAAAGCTTTAGACCCTGTTTGGCAACAAGAGGTTAGTTGTTTGTTGTTTGTATGAGCAGGTTTAACTAGCTGATTGTATGAGCTGGTTTAACTAGCTTGTAAAAGTGTTTGACAAATACAAGTTAAATAGCTACTTTATTGTGTATGCATAATTTATTAAAAATTTGAGCAAAATTGGATATGGGTAGTAAATTTAACCAACTTTAAGATAGAAAAGTCATTTATCCTCAACTAGCACAGACTTGTCTTACCAAAAAGCTCCCATCAATAGCTGTTTTCATAATTAGCTTTCAGGACTCAAAATCCTCCCTAAATCTTCTCTTATCCAAACACTCAGATTAGAGTTTATTAATCTCTCTTTTGCCTAAAAACTCTCTTTTTTCCCCAAATCTCTCCTAACCAAACACCCCCTTAGAATTTCTATCCTAAATTCCTATTGGATATTAGCCTAAAAAATGAACAGAAAAATCACTTGCACAGCAGCACACTAAGATGTTACGATTAGACCAGAACCTAATTTCCCAAAAATTTAATTACTACAAATGAATCTACATTTAAAAGCTACACATATCAGGTTTGGAAATTCCTCAAACAGAAAATTAAACAAAGACAGATTGTAATAAAAATATCCTAGAGCCTTACAAGTTAAAAATGGCAAAACACTTTCATTTGGCAGTGCATATGCATCAGAGCACAAAGGATCAGCACAGACACATCAGACAGGGATAACTGTGATAATTGTAATTTTCTCATCATATGTAAAATACACTGCCAAATGAGCACCATAAGCAGAATAATGCTGATGGTATCTTTACATCGTTGAATACAAACACCAAATTTAACTACAGAAACTTTAAAAATCAGACAGAGTATTTATACTTGCCCTGGCGCAACAAGCCAACTAAATTCATCATTAGAAAATTTTGAACCCCATTTATCATGCAAAAACCAACTCAAGCTAACAAGTGCAGATTAATGCAATATATCCTACTTCCAAACATTTGAGTACTTTGCAAATAATGATATTGTGAATTTGCCCCCCAAATAGTATATTATTGACATTATTGGACAATGCAGCAATTCAACAAAAACGAGGCAAGATAAATCAACAAGTGAAAGGCGGCACAGAAATGTCTTACCAAACTTTTGTCAGGAATTTCATCTTGGGTGGCTCAAAAGGGTATCCATCTGTGATTGAAAAATAAAAAGGAAAGCAGCACTGCTACTATCAGTCAAGTAAACCAACATTGTTTCGCATACCTTAAGAGCAAAATAGTTTAACAGGGAGGGATGAGGGAAAGCAACAGATTATCCGTCCATCAAAGAAAGGCAGCAGATAAAGATCATATAACAACCACAGTTAAAAATGGAAAATATGTACAATTTTAATTGGAAACTAATAAAGAATAACTACAAAACTCATCCTCTTCATTATTTACTTAATGACCTTAAAAAGAATCATATAATACAGGAAAGGAAAATTCTTGATTGCAAACAGAAAATACGGCGATTCGGCATTCTCCTTCCTTACTCAGGATGATTTTCACACAGAATTCCCCAAACTCAGCAAGATTTTATATAATTATCCTAACTAATAATAAAACAAAAGTACAAAATTCGAAGTTACAGGAGCAATCAAATGTATGAAACAAAAACTTCACTTCTATTAATGAAGAATTTCCAGAATTCAACAAAATTCAACAAATATCAATGCAATTGTTAGCAAATCAATAATAAAGAAAATCGAAGCTAAAATAGAAATCATAAGTAAAAAATTAAACATTAACTACCACCAATTGACACAATTTAAATATCAAAACCATCAAATAAAATCAAAATCCAACAACTTTAATTGAAAAGTAATTAGAAATGAAATTACCAGGTAAAACGACGTCGATTAAGAAGGTACCACCTTCGTAAGGAGAATCAACAGGACCAGGAATAGTACCAATGAGATGAGAGAGAGAATCAGCTTTTGGCTTCACGCTAACGCCAGAAGAATTGACATCTTTATTGCATTCTTGAAGCTCTTTCTGAACTCTAGCAAAATCCACCATTTTTTATGTTCAGAGAATTTCGATTTCTAGGGTTTTGGTGAAGAAATTTTGGGTTTGATGGAAAAAAAAAAAAAAAAAAAAAGGAGGGAAGAAACCCTAGAAAGAAGAGTACAGTGAAAGGTTTGATTTGATACCTGAAAATTACATTATACACCACAAGCTAAGATACGCACGAAAATTCGTGCGTGTTCATATAAGTAATCTATGAAGATCAATTTTCTTTTCTTTTTTTTTCAGATGAAATTTTTTTTTTAGATGGTGGTTCTTTTTTTTAAGGATGGTAGGTTTTTTTTTTTTTAAAACGAAAAAGAAAGACAAAAATGAGAGGGGTAGTTATGAATTATTATAGGATAGGTTTTTTTTTTTTTTTTTTTTCCAATTGCACTTATTTTTGGTAAAACTGTAATTTTAAAAATGTAGAAGAGTATTTTAGGAAAATCAAAATTTATCAACCAAAAGGTCCTTTCTCTTTATATAGTACTATAGATGTGTACGCTCCCGGTCAAAATATATGGGTTTAAAAAACATACTCCCTCCGTGTTGTAATAAGTGTTACACTTTGACCGACACATAATTTTAGGCAATTTAATTGACTTATGGAGTAAATAAAATAAGAGGTAAGTAGGGTAGTTGGAATATTAAAAAATTATAAAAGAAAATTAGTGGGGTTAATAGTTTATTGAAAAGTAATGAATGTGAGATGAGAGAATTAATAAAAAAAAATAGTAATGGGTTTAGGTGGAGACCATGAGAGGAGAGAAATATAATATTAAAATGTAGATTTTTTTTTCTAAAAAACTAAGTGTAACACTTATTTAAACACGGCCGCATTTAGTAAGTGTAACACTTATCAAAACAAAGAGCGAGTATATAAAAAAATATTGTGTACAAATATAAAGTACGTGAAAAAAAAAAAAAAACTTTTCAAAACGATTCACTCCTTGATTTAAGAGATTGATTTTTTTTTTTTTTTTTTTTGAGGAAACTTGCAGCAAGTATTATATAAGATCAATGTTCGCCAAAGCCAACAAGCTTTGTGGGAAAGGACCAAGACATACAAACTCATCGCAATCTCTCGTATCCCACCTAGCTACCATATGAGCTAAAGTATTGCCTGCCCATTTTACATGAGAACAAACAAAAGTATCAAAAGACAAAGAAAGAGAGACAATATCATCAATAAGAAGGAAAAAAGGAGTAAGTCTAGTAGCTTTGCGTTTGATACCTGCAACCATCGAGCTAGCATCGCTTTCCAAATGCATCCTGGGAAAACCAAGTCGTCTAGCCAAGAGTAGACCAAACCTACACGCAGCAGCCTTTGTGACGTCCATCGCCCAACCAGCCCCAACTCTTCTAACTGCCGCAGCAACAATAGCCCCATTCACGTCTCTTATCACCACCCCCACCTTCGACACAACCCCACAGTGAGCATCACAATTAACTTTCACCACTCCCCCACTTGGACAGCTCCATGAACTTCTGCTTTGCATATTACCACAGCAAGGGCCCTTAAACACCTTTGAAGCATACCCATTATAGTCATGAACAAGTCGAGAGAACCCCATAGCAATACCCACCGGATCAACCGCATTGTTCTCGAATGTAAATTTATTCCTGCAATGCCATGAAGTGCACTCAGAAGTTCTTCTTTGGATACGTTAGCTGCTAACCACAACAATATATCCCCAAAGTGAGAAGTCGGAGCCTGAGAAAAAAGTGATTCAAAAGCACTCCCTCTCCATATATCTTTCGAACCCCTACACTCAAAAATGGCATGTAAAATTGATTCGTTACCTGTCCCACAAATGGTACACCTCATATCAGATATAATGTGTCGGTGATATAATTGTTCTCGAACAACTAAAAAACCTTTACACGCCCTCCATAAAAAATGACATAGTTTTGGAGGAGCTTTAAGGTTCCAGACAATCTTTCATGTCAAGTCTTCAGTATTAGAAGAAGCACCAAAACCATTTTGCTTAGCAAACCAATAACCCGATTTTACTCCTTGATTTATGGAATTCATTTAAATGCTCGGAATTTTAAAGTTATTTGTTTGTAAGAAAAAAAATTCTTTTAAAATGTAATTATTCAAAATTTTAGCACTATTGGAAGTACAAATTTTTTTTGTAAAAAAAAAAAACAAAAAATCTATAATTAACTCTAACATCAAAGTTGTAAGATTTTGACCATGTCTAATTGTTTATATGTATGCTAGAAACACTTGATAATTTAAACCAATGCACAATTAGCTAACCTGGGGGATTATCTGGGGATAACCGTTCCGATGCTAAAGTCAGCAATTTGAAGAGAAGAATAAAAGAAGAGATAAGAAAGTGTTTGAGAGAGAGAGAGATAAAGATCGTGTCTTAATAATGAATTATGCTTGGGTATTTATAGGAAAACAACCAAGCTGGTGCCACCTATCGACTTAGGTGGCAAGTTGACTTTGTAGGCAACAGGTGCCTAAGTGGTCGAAAGCAGCCCTCCACGTGGCCGTGATGAAGGCCATTATGGAGAGTAAGTCGATATGCGTAATAATGGAGAACTAACAGCGTAAAGTATTTTAGTGGGCAAATCCTAACGGTGTTGGCACTATCCCGTACAGATCATATAAGGTCACACACAAGGGTTATGGATTGGACAAAGTATGAAGCCCGTTCATGGGCCTCATGAGGTAATGACAAGCCACATAAGTAGTAAGGCTAAAGTAGTTTGGATTGGGTTAGGAGTTTGGGATTCACATGTACTCTAATTATATATGTGAAATATAAATAGAGGCCTTGCCTAGGTTATGCAAACAAGTCACAATTAACCTAAGCAGTAGATTGTGAAGCAAGCAACCAAACTCCCATCCCCTCTCTCATACACGTCTCCCTCCTCCCCCCTCTCTATCCGTACAGTACGGACACTGGCCCAAGTAGATGCATGGTGGCGGTGGTGGTGGTTCGTGGCTCGTTTAATTTGTCTCCTCTCCTCTCCGTAGAAGGTTGGTTGAAGGGTTCAATCACAACTAAATAACATTAGTGGAGGTTCAATCCTTACCCGTAAACTAAGTAGAGGAATCCCGTTTGGGGTCCTAGTTCTCCTTACTGTTCTTGCTCAATCACTCGTGGAATCACGCTTCAAAGGTACAATTATGTGTTCTTTATGTGTTGTTCAAAGATCTTGTTTATTAGATTCTTATGAATGTGATTCATGTAATTCCGCTTATAGTATCTAAAGTCCTACAGTGGTATCAGTTAGCCTAATGCATGTACACATATTGATCATAATTCTTTGTTGTCCATAAATTTTAATTCAATTAAGAGGAAGAATAATTTAATTATGGGTCAATTATTATTTTAAATGGTTATTTAACATATGGAATCATTAAAGATATTTAATTTGCTTAATTTTTTTCCTAAAATTTGGACCGATTTTTGCCCTATTTGGTTTAAAAATTTTTACCCCCCCAAACCCTAGTTCAAAAATTTAAAAACCCTAAACCCTAAATTTTGATTTCGTGTTTTGTGTTTTGAATAATTTCGATAGTTCCTATTTTTATGAATTTAATTTAATTGATTTCATGTATAAATTATGAATTTTGCATGATCAATGGTTTAATTTAAGTGTTAAATTAAATTGGGAATTATTTTCATGAAGAACCCTAATTTTAATTTTGAATGTGATTTAATTTTAAATTACTTGGACCAATTTAATTTAATTTAACAAGTGTTGTTTAATTAAATTAAAACTCATAAATTTTTTTTTTTTATTTTAAAATTCAATATCAGTTTTTATTTTGAAAATACATGTTTTCAAAATTAAGTTGTTAATTTTGATAAGTTTGTTAGTATATTTGAGCAAAAGATTCTATGTGGATAATAATTGATTCAATAATATGATTATCCCATAATTATTTTAGGATATAATTGATTTAAAATTATGTGCTTGGCTAAGTAATTAGGATGGAATCTCCTAACTTAGTTAGGATAATCATGGAGAATAAATATGATTTATCTTTCCAAGATTAAAATGAGATTTGATTCTATCTCATACCTAAATTAAAATATAAGATATTTTATAATTGGTCATGAATAATATATGATATTATCTAATTAACAGTTTAAAATATGAGATATTTAGGTACCATGTTTCCTTAATTATGAACATTCGATGTTGTAGTTTAGGCAAACATGTTGAGTGATTTAAAATATGATATTATTTTGCTATATATAGACTGAAATAAATTATATTAAAATTATTGATAAATTAACAAATTACGTGAAGCTACATTATATATTTTACAGATTTTTCACCATATACCTAGGGCTGGAAAAAGCGGACTCGACTCAAACCCAACTTGAAAAAACCCGACTCGAAACTAAGAGACGAATCGATGGACTCTGTAATGTATCATATAGATTCTTTCTCCTCCTACGTCGTCGAAGTTTCGGCCAGGAATCTAAATTTTAGGTGAAGACGAATCGATGTGATCTTCTGCCCGAGCAACGTCATCGGGCCGAAACTGGAGCATTTTTGGGCGGAAAAAGCCGTAATGCACGCTCGGTTCAATTCGGCAGCACCTTTTCATATAGGGATCGATAGCTCCCTGAGCGGCTCTTCTTGCTCGTACAATCGTCGGACGCCGTAATGGATCATGTATAGTCGATCTCCGCGTGCGTCATCCAAATATCGTCTAGGGATCAAGATCTTCGGTTCAGATGAATCGACGAGACCTTCCGCCCGAGAGGCATCCTCGGGCCGGAATTAGACCATTTTCGGGCGGAAAAACGCTTGATGAATCCTCGGTTCTATATGACAACACCGATTGGTATCATTCTTTTTGATTGTTTTCGTCACCGATACTGACCAACTTGAAGTCGCCATTGATGAGCTTGAAGAGAAAGCGTGAAAGAGAAGCGGTTTTTTTTTTCTTTTGAAAAACAAACCGAGTTTTGGGTTTTTTCCGGGTTTTTTTGCTTTCCTTGTTTTTGATATAAAAGTTAATTTGATCGTACAAACAAAACCATCTCTAATTTATTTATTTTTATTTCAATTATTTTAATTTAATTATCTTTATTTTTTTTAGGAAAACGTTAGGCAGGCATAGTATTATAAATCAGAATTAGCTAAAAATACAAGGTTTTGTGGGAACAGACCTAGACAGACAAATTCTGAACATCCACGCGTATCCCACCATGCCACAAGGTGGCCATTGTGTTACCTACCCTCTCGAACATGAAAACAAATAAAAACATTAAAAGACTTAGATGACATGCGAATATCATCA